CACACACACACACACACACACACACACACACACACACACCTCTATATAAATATATTCCTAACGTCAATGATCTTCATAGAGACCTGCCCCAGAAGCTCAGAATCTCAGTGAGAGTTTACAGCCTCAGCATTTCTGTTTGGTACCATAAGATAAACCCTTCGTTAGTTTCCACAAAAACCTGCTCTATGCTTAGCATGCTTACAAAAGGTGCACCCCAGAAAAAGTTTCTGCCATGCGATCTTCATCATTGTAATATCTCTCTGAAGTCATAAACCTAGTCATACGCTGAAAAGTTCTTTCTGTCGGGTTCACTTTCAACATCATCTTCAAGCACTCATCGAGTTATTTCCTCCTCCCTGTTTCTTTTTGGAAACAAAGCAAACAAAACAAATCCTATACATCCTTTCCTAAGAGACAATCTTACAATTCTGGTAACCGTAGTGCTAGACCAGTCTGTCCAGTCAACCATCCATTTTATCCATTGACCTAATTTTGCTCATCTGCTCATTTGGCTATCACTTTTTCATAAATATATTATTCGGTCTGCAAGTTAACTTTTATTTTCCCAAATTTTAACACATTTTATAGACTTCGGGTCTTTAATCTTCCTCTCTTTCCTTCACCATTAGATGCCTTCATTCCTAAGTAACTCGGCAGCATTATGGGGTACTATATTTCTCTATCTTTGAACATATATCATCCTCCTTGCCTTAAATTTTCTTCCTGGCTTATTTGGCTAGGAAATGCCTACTAACTCTATAAGGTTTCCTTCAGATGTTTTCTTCTTGGTAGATTGTTTGGAATTTAGGTCTTCCTCTTCCTAGGCCAATGTTTTTCTGCAATGTAACTTCAAAGTTCCTCTCTTCAAGAGGTGGAGTATTTCCACATCCCTTAAATCTAGGTTGGCCTATGATTTTCTTTGGCTCATGTAGTGCAGCAGACATGACTGTTTTGAGCCTTGAGAAGCTTTAAATACTTTCTCTCGAAGGAGTGATTCACATCACTCAGTCACCATTTTTAAGTCCTGGCTAGCCTGCTGGAGAACTGAGTTGCTGCAGCTACATCCAGTCAATCACCAGACATTTGAGTGAGGCTGTCTGAGACCATCTATCTCCCAGCCAACCTGTCAGCTGATTGTAGATGATAAGCAAACCTACCTGAGATTGGCCAAAGATCGGACGAAACCAGTAAAAGTCCCCAACTCAATCGCAGACTCATGAGCAATAATAAACACTAATTGTTTTAAGTCACTGCGTTTGGGGGTTACTTGTTACACAGCAACTAGTGAAACTCCCTTGATCCTATTCAATAGCTGCAACCTGCAACGTATTTCCATTATAGCTCTTATAACACTGTGTCTTTCTCCTCCACAAACCTAAAGTTCTTTGGGAACAGGGGCAATTTTTGTTTTGTATCTCAGAATCTAAACAGTGCCTGCCAACTTTTCAGTAGATGAATGTCAAAAATATCAATGAGTAATTAGTTGAATGTTGCCCAAGGGATGGTTTGGGAAGCAGACAAATGAGGACTTAAATCTCAATTCTATTTCCTGGTTTACTTTAGAGAATTTGGTTAATCCTTCTGAGTCTTATGTGCTCATCTGTAAAGACCAGAAAAACATATATGCTGCAGGATTGTGTAATTGTATATCTGTGTCTAACTATCTAAAATCACTACCATATTTTATATGTATATAATGTATACATATAAGTGGGTGTGTGTATGAATCTATATATCTACATCTCCTATCTGGCACAGAGTAAGTGTTCAACAAATAAATAAGAATTAAATGATAAAATGCATGTAAAGCATTTTATCTAGTATCTGGCTTATAGTTATTCAATATGTGATGGCACTATTAATATGATCATGATCACCACCACCATAATTGTTGTTGTCACTTCTTGTAACAGAAATTGCAGGTGCTCCATCCACAACCCCTTGGTATTCATCATGTTAGTACCTGTCGACCTGGCGGTGGCTTTCAATGGAAAACACCTGGAATACTTTCCCTGAGGGCTTCCTCGGGCTGCTAGAGTCTTCTCTTTCTACATGTATGGTAGGCCACAAAAGCCAGGGAGTTAACACTCCCCACTTCTACCCAGGCAGCAGTCTCCAGAAGGCAGATGGGAGAGGTGGCTAAAAACCCTAATTCCTCTACTCTTGGTTGGAATAAATCCAAGGTTTATTCTATGCTGTACACCAAAATTACCTAATGGAATTGTGCCTCTCTTGGTCATAAGCAGTGGTAAGTTGCTTTTTTGGTCTTCCTTCTTTTCTCTGTCTCACATCCCCACTACCCTAACAAAGGTGCATTGGCATCACCTCCCAAATAAACACTAATTTCCAAAATTTTTGTCTCACCATCTGCTTCTGGGAAAACCAACCTAAGATATAATTATTCTTTTCAGTTTATTTTAGCCTTATTACTTCAGAATCTAATCACTTCTTTCAGAAATTTTACTTCCATTTTAATGTTCTCTCTAGTTAGTCAAAAATTTGTATTTAGGCCAGTAAATGGCCAGACCAATCTCAGAATGTGGTGTATCAACTTAAGGTCATCTGTAATGTTTTCATCATAGCACAATTCTCTGAGAGTAGGGAATGGTTAATTTGCAGTTGGTCTTGGGCTCTGTACTTATCTTGATTGGATACCAGGAAGCATGGTATTGATTCTTGGCCTAGACAAAGGTAAAATGTACTAGCTAATGATTTATAATGTGCTGATAAAAGTTTAAAACTCCTCCACATATATCCTGTACCAGTTTGCCTATTCTATTTACTGAAACTGTATTAATTGATGGTTTGCAACTGTTTACCTTTTCACAAAGTCTGCTTTAAGCTACCTGAACTACAGGGTATAAAATACCCTTCAGGAAGTTTGGGCCTTGACTCCCCTGAGAACTTGTGGAGTAGTCTCATGAATCTTCTTAATTATTCAATACTATGTAATTGCTGCTCTGAGGCTGTTTTCTGATGACCAAAAACTTGAGAGAGATCTTGGGTGTAAGAAGGAAGAATTCCCATAACATAGATGTTTAGAACCATTTCAGTTATGAGTATTGAAAAGTGAGACTCTGCACTTCGCTGAAACCTTAAAATATTGTTCAGCAGAGGTATCATGAATAACTCTTCCAAACACAGACTTTGGGGTCGTCACACCCCAATAATGGCTGTGGCTATTGGCTTCTTGAAAATTGAACCTATCTGCCAAGATCTTTGCATGCATTTCTTATCTTTCCTCCCCTGTGGGCTTTACATAATGATTAAACACTCCAAGACATGAACCTCTCACTGCACAGAGCATAAATTTCTCTGGGAAATGCCGCTTAAATCCATATATTTTTGACTTTTAAAAACACTAATTTTAAGTTGGATCTTTGTTTTCTCCTCAATGTTTTATTCCAATGTTTCATCTAGGAATAATCCAGTATAAAAATTTTAGTCTTGAAGTCATGTTTTGACTGACTGAAGCCACTAGTCCTTAAAAAACTCATGCTTCTCATCTAGAGGGGAAACTTTCACACAGTCTGCCTCTCAGTGGTTTGAGCAATAATGTTCTCAGAAATCAGGAGTCATGCAGAAAGGAGTTGCAAATATATCTGGAAGGCTCAAGTCTCCAAGTGTTACAAGATAACCCAGCTAGAATATGAGATTTCAGGGGAGAATTTTATTTCTTTTCACAATTTGACATCAGCTCCCTAAGAGTTTCAGAAGCAGGCCACAAACATATATATCATAGGTAGTTCTCCGCAACAGTTAAATAAACTACAATCTGACTATAGTGTGTTAAAACACAAATGGGCAGCATATTTTATATATAGAAATTAGAATTATGTTTAGAGATTCATAAAGAACATCAGTGGTCATCTATGCTTTGAAGAAGATCCAAAATATCTTTTGAGATTCCCGCATCTACTAGTTAGCTATAATAAGGCAAAATGTCCTTTTAAAAATATAAATTCTGTCAGGTGTGGTGGCTCATGCCTATAATCTCAGCAATTTGGGAGGCTGAGATGAGAGGATTTCCTGAGCCCAGGGGTTCAAGACCAGCCTGGGCAATTTGGCAAGATGTTGTCTCTACAATAAATAAAAAAAATAAGCTGGGCAAGGTGGCACATGCCTGTGGTTCTGGTTACTTGGAAGGCGGAGGTGGAAGGATCACCTGAGCCCAGGAGGTTGAGGCTACAGTGGTCCTGATCATGCCACTTCAATCCATCCTGGGTGACACAGTAAGGCTGTGAATCAAAATAAATAATAATAATAATAATAATACACAATTTTCACTCTTCTGTTAATGACTCTCCAGTGACTTCCATTTCCATTGGAATAAAATCAAGAGAATTTTCCACATCTAAAAGGCTCTCCAACTCCATTTTCTATGCCATGCTCCTCTGAATCCCCTCTCTTAAAGCATTTCAGGTCTGTTCTCTGAGGCTTGAACACAACCACGTGGATCCAGGCTTGTAGCACATGAAAGGTACTATCTTCAAACCCTATGTGGTTAGCTCTTTTCCATCACTCAAATCTCAACTCAAATGCTCTGAGTAGTCAACTCTGCCACTAAAGGGGGTTTCAGGAGTGGAAAACAGTGCGCTCTCACCCATGTAAGAGATGCTGGTGAGTTGGCTTAGGGGTGTGGCATTGGAGATGGATAGATTTAAAAGATATTTTGGATCTGCTTCAGACACCCAAAGTAAAGTACCCCTCAGTCACTACTTTCTCATTAACCTGCTTACCATGTTCATAAACATTATCAGTGGCTGCCAATTTCCCTTCCATGTATTTACCTACCTACACTTTTCACTAGACTGTCAGCTCCCACGAGGCCACACACTTGCCTTTTCAGTTCCTAGTGCCTAGAACAGTTTTCAGGCCTGTAGAAATCCACCCAATGGACATTGGTTGAATAAATAGATGCACATTTCTGCTCTTTTAATATTGTGTAATTTAAAATAAAATGTAAAAGGGCAAAACCATATTGTAATTTATTCCCCTACCTTTTTGTGATGGCTGTAGATGAATTAAAGACTCCAGAGGAGTGTGGCTATTTCTATTCTGCAACTTTTCGCTGGTGTTCTTCAGTCCTCTTCATTTTTCTTCAGTGCTCATTTTGGCAAGAGGTAGAAGCATTTCACCACAGTGTATTTCTGTAACAACATGGTACCAACATGACTCAGAACCCCACCAACATTATGCTCAGTTAAAAAATAAATAGATAAACTCCTTTACTTTACACTCTCCTACTTGCAGTACATCCTTTCTTTGTTGTTCCTGTCTCTTGCAGGCATACAACTACGGCTCTGCACATCATCACCTGAACACCTTTATGTAGTGTTAGGCTCCCTTTCATGGGTGACCTGCATCTTTACCACAGCATTTTCTCTACTCCATATCACCATTCCATTATGAAAGCATCTCTCCAATAGATAGTGAACTTTGTGACTGCAGAAACTATACCTTTGGTCTCTGAATCTCTAGGGCCTATCCCACTAACTGGTAATTGTATATTTTTAATGCAGTCAGTTCTCGATATCTGCAGTAGTTATGATTTATGAAGTCATTTCAAACACTGAACTAGCAAATCTAAAGCACCACTCCTAGGGAAAGTAGAGAGTTAGGTGTCTGAAAGTCTTTGGTCTCAATGTTTTTGTCAAACAATAAACACATAATTTTGTTTTATGTGTATTTCTGCTTAAAGACAACTTATTTGATATATATTGGTGATTCATGAAGACGGAACTCTCAGCCAACAGTAATGTCATTTATTCCTAAACAAAGCTTTTCTAACACAGATGTTTTCTCCATAGGGACATAACAGTCTTCTTGTGCTTGGGAATACTTGACAGCATCCCAGCACTATAATAAGGGGGCATTCCAAACAGCAAGATCACAAATATTAAGCATAAAAATGTAAAGGACATGAGATGAATTTACAAATATGCAACTACAAATAACGAGGACTGATTGTATATACATTGGCTGAGCCAAGATTATATATCAATCGTACAAGTTTCTCACCTTGCTTATGGTTCAGCACAGCACTGCCATTTAAATAAATAAATAATAAATGCTACAGGTAGCATAGGAAGGAATTAAATACAGATTTCATATTCTTCATAAAAGATCTAGGAACTGAAAGCAATATTTTTCTTTTATCCTATCAGAAAGATAAACTCCAGCAATCCCCATCCAGTCACTAATGACATTCATCATAGAAAAAGAAAAAAAAATCTAAAATTCAAAACCTAAAATTTCTAAACCACAAAAGAAACCAAATAGCTAAAGCAATCTTGAGCAAAAAGAACAAAGCCAGAATCATCACACTACCTGATTTCAAATTATACTACAAAGCTATAGCCCAAAATAGTATGGTACTGGCATACAAACAGACATGCAAACCAATGGAACAGAAGAGAGAAAACAGAAATAATTCCATGCATTTATAGCCAACTCATTTTCTGAAAAAGTCACCAAGAGCATACATCAGGGAAAAGACAGTCTCTTTAATAAATGGTGCTGGTAAAACTGGATATCCATATGTAGAAGAATGTAACTAGACACTTATATCTCACTACTTATAAAAATTATCCCAAAATGGACTAAAGACTTACATGTAAGACTTGAAACTCTGAATCTACTAGGAGAAAGCACTATAGGACATTAGTGTAGGCAAAGATAGTTGGGATAAGACCTCAAAAGCACAAGCAACAAAAGCAAAAATAGACAAATGGGACTATATCAAGTTTAAAAGCTTCTGCACTGCAAAGAAAACAGTTAACAAAGTGAAGAGACAACTTACGGGATGGAAGAAAATATTTGCTAACTATTCACTAAGTGAATAATAACCAGATTATATAAAAACTCAAACAACTCAATAATAAGAAAAAAAAGCCATTTAGAAATGGGCAAAAGACCTGAACAGACATTCCTCAAAAGAAGACATGCAAATGGCCAATAGGTATGTGAAAAATGCTCAACATCACCAAACATCAGGGAAATGCAAATTAAAACCACAATGAGATATCATCTCACCTTAGTTAGGATGGCTATTATCAGAAAGATAAGAGATAATTGCTGATGAGGATAGAGAAAGAGGAATGCTTGTACATTGTTGATGAGAATAGAAAGTAGTACAGCCATTATGAAAAACAGGATTCAGGGTCCTCAAAAAACTAAAAATAGAACTACCACATGATCCAGCAATCCTACTGCTGGGTATATAACTAAAAGGAAGTAAATCAATATATTGAAAAGATATCTGAACCCATATGTTTATTGCAACACTATTCACAATAGCCAAGATATGGAGTCAACCTAAGTATCCATCAATGAATGAATGAATAAAACACATATGCTATATATACACAATAGAATATTATTCGGTCATACAAAAGAATAAAAGCCTGTCATTTGCAGTAACATGGATGGAACTGGAGGCCAGTAAGTTAAGTGATACAAGCCAGGCACAGAAAGGCAAATGCCACATATTTTCAACCCTATGTGGTAGCAAATAAACAGTGGTTCTCATGGAGACAGAGAATAAATAGTGGTTACCAGAGACTGAGAAGGGAAGGGGGAAAATGAAAAGAAGTTGGTTAATGGATACACAAATACTAGAGAGGAGAAATGCGTTCTAGTATTCAATAGTACAGCAGAGGAATTATAGTTAATAATAATTTATTGTATATTTCAAAATAAGTAGAAGAGAAGAATTGTAATGCTACTAATACAAAGAAAAAATAAATATTTGAGGTGATATCTCATTTACCCTGACTCAACATTACACATTGCATATATGTATCAAAATATCACATGTATACCCAAAATATGTATACATATGATATATCAATTAAAAAGAAAAATTCTAAAGCCCAGGTCTTTTATTTTGCCTGACATTAATCATTGCACATCCAATTTTGAGACAAGTTCAAAAAAAATCCCTGAAAATAATTATAGGTTGATAGTTCACCTTGTTTGTTACCGGTCAACCTAAACTCCCAGAACACTGCTCTATTTTTCTCCTTGAGTAAGAAAAAGAAATGCCTGTTTTTATTTCATTATATGCACCAGTTAACTGTAGGCACATGATGTACATACTTAGCAGACTTGCATTTTCTGTAAAAATGCCAGTACTTAGTGATGTAAACCAAAGGAATCACACTTTGACTATCTCCTTCCTAGGGCATTTGAAAAATGCTTAAGACCCTTTCAGAATTATGACTTATGCTTTAAAGCTGTTGTGAAGATCTTCCAATTAAGTTTACTTCTCAGTATTTTAACATGGCTAAATTTAACATTGATTTATTTGTAGTTCATGGAAAGTAATTTGTTATAAAAATTATCTTCTCAAAAGCATGCTTTATATTTTAAATGATCATTGCTAAGATCAGCAGAACTTGCTAAAAAACAATACCTTACACGGGTAACAAGAAATCTGAGAAAGATTGTTCTGAAAGTTACTCTTAATTTAGTTCCAAATTGGTTAAAATACAAGTAGACATCATTTCTTTTCAGAGGTTGGGATATGATACTCTCTTCAAATATTCTAGAGTAACGGACGACAAATCCCCTGTCATGGAATGCAGTTTTAGGACTGACATAATCATATGGGTCTACTGCATAACAATAAGGTAACTCAGTGTATTTTACAAAAATAATACCTTGATCTAGGAAAAGAAAACTAATTAAATGTATCTTTTTAAAATTTGTGTACTTTATTGGTTCCATTACATTAAATATTCTACATCATTAATCATTTTTGCTTTGGGTTTACTTTCTAAGAATTAGTGTTACTTTAAATTTTCTACTTATATTACAAAAAACAAATTAATCCAAGAAATATTAGCTATGATAACCTTATTTTAATACATGCCAAAATCATCACTAAACTCTCCTCTCACATTTCTTTCTCTTTAAACCTGCCATCAAGAAAACTTCATCTAGCTGGGCTCGGTGGCTCAGCCTATAATCCCACGCCTTTGGGAGGCTGAGGTGAGTGGATTGCCTGAGCCCGCGGGTTCGAGACCCACCTGGGCAGCGAGACCTCATCTCTACAATAAATCAAAAAATCAGCCGGGCGTGGTAGCGCATGCCTGTAATTCTGGCTACTTGGAAGGCTGAGGCGGAAGGATCGCCGGAGCCCAGTAGGTCGAGGCTGCAGTGGCCGGGAGTCTGGGCGACAGACTGAGACTCCAACTCAAAAACAAACAAACAAACAAAAAAAGAAACCTTCATCTATATAATTCTGCTAAAGTCATGTTACCACTACTGACTTTAAAAAAGCAATCTGAATGTTCAGTAGACTATGTTCAGATAACAGCTACACAATGTTGAACTTGTTGATAATGTGCATCTTAATAGGAAGTACTGATACTAATTAAATTTAATGTTTGCATTTGTAACCTTCAAGAGGAAGGAGATGGCTTTGTATGGAAAGATTGCTCAGTCGTGTACTAGCTGCATCATCTGAGGCAATTCATGATTCCCTGAGATTATTTACTCATCTGAAAAACGGAGATGAACACCATTTTCTATAATATGGAGTGGTCTTAAAGATTAAAAAAAGGCTTATGTAAAATAACTGATCAATTATGAATAGTAAAACATATTAGCTCTCGTTTTTTACTAAGTACACAAACCAGATACTATTTTAGTCATTAAATTTAACTCTTAGAGTTAAAAAACAGTGGCCTGTATCAGTGAATATTGTGAAACAACAACAAAAAACAAAAGCAAAAAAAACCCAAATACAAAATATTTTAGTTCCCCCACATTCTGACTTACAAATAAGGTAAGCATCTTTACTTGTGTGTGTGTGTGTGTGTGTGTGTGTGTGTGTGTGTGTGTGTGTGTGTGTGTGTGTGTGTGAGAGAGAGAGAGAGAGAGAGAGAGAGAGAGAGAGAGAGAGAGAGAGAAATGAGGCCGGGTACATATAATACAGCACATTGGGAGGCGGAGATGAGGGGATTGTTTGAGCCCAGGAGTTGGAGACCAGTCTAGGCAACATAGTGAGATATTGTCTCTACAAAAAAAATTAGAGAATTAGCTAGGTATGCATCTGCAGTTCCAGTTACTCAGGAGGTTGAAGTTGAAGGATCATCTAAGGGATCACTTGAGGCTGCGGTGAGCTATGATCCTGTGATCATGCCAC